CCATAGAGACACTGGCAACTGCAACACAAATGGTTGGAAATGGCCCTGATGACCCTCCTCATCGCACCAGAACAGGGTTGAAGCACTAACCTGAGGAGCTGACACCATCCCCAGGCCCTGCAGCGTGTTATCTGCAGTGTTGGTGGGCCAGTTGGAGGGCCAATCCTTTCTAGAGATAATGGAACGGTCAGCTCCTGTGTCTAGGAGCCCTGTTATATTCTTGTCATTGACCTTAAGTGAGAGCATGGGCCTTTTATCAAGTATTATATGGAGTCCCTCGAAGACTTCCCCTGAGGAACCGAAACCTTGACTTTCTCTAATTTTCTGCTTTGAGGGGAATCTCTTGTGGAGACTGGGGAGCAGCAAGAGCTGCGCTATCTTGTCTCCTTTATTGATTACCATAGTACCCACAAGAGATTGAACCATAATTTTAATGTGTCCTGTGTAGTCTGAGTCTATGACCCCCGGGACTACTATGAGACCCCGAAGGGCCGTGGAGGATCTCCCGATCACCAGACCCACGGAATTTTCGGGTAATGGTCCCTTAAAGGTGGTTTCAACCACTTGAACACCCATATCAGGCACTAATATAAGTCTGGAGGCGACACTGAAGTCCACACCTGCTGACCCAGGGGTGGCCCTTGTTGAAGGCTGCCATCCTGAGCTGTCCTGTCTCTGGGGCGGGGGCCCGCCTGTGAAGGGGGCCCCCTCTGGCCGTTTTTTGGCCCTCTAGCATCTCGTCCATAAATACGGTTGCCCTGAGCATCAAAGACCGACCTACACTCCTCAGCTTTGTGTGATCCCCTCTTGTATCGCCCACAAACATATGGTTTTTTATTCCTAGGGCGAGGCCTAGCATCTGCATTGTTTGGGCAATGACGTTTAATGTGTCCTGGCTCCCCGCAGGCAAAACACCCTTTAGCCTTACATTCCCCTTCTAACCCGCGAGGTCCCCTCTGCTGTACAGCCGCGGCCAGGAGAGCAGCCACTCCCGAGTTGGAGAGCGGCCCCCCTATCTCTCTACATATCCTAATCCAGGCGTTGAGGTCCTTGTTCTTATGAGGAGCTATCGCTGTCTTGCACTCCTTTGTACATTGCTCAAAAATCAGCTGCCTTACCAGTGGTCGAGCCACTCCCGGATCAGAAAATATCTTATCGGCAGCATCTTGCATTCGGGCCACAAAGTCAACAAATGGCTCTGTGGTACCCTGAATTATTTTTGAAAGACACAAGGAGGCTGTTCCGGCACCACTTACCTGCTTCCAGGCGCGGAGCCCTATGGCGTTGATTTGTTCATAGACAGCGCCGGGGAACTGAGTCTGATCATCAGCGTGCCGACCTTCTCCCATAAGCATTTTCTTGTTCCACCCCCGGTTTCCCCGACTGGCGTTTCTCTCAGCCTGCTCTGCAGAGAACTCTGCGTACCAGGCTCGCCAATCCAGGTAACTACCCGAGGGCAGACACGCCTTTGCCAGCTGAATCCAGTCCGCGGGGGTGAGGGGCCCAGAAGACAGGTTCTCCAGCATGGCAATGGTGTAAGGCGCAGTCGGCCCAAAGGTTGTAACTGCATTTTTAAGTTCTCTAATCTGCTTTATCTCAAAAGGCTCCCATGCATTACGTCCCTGGCCCATAGCTACTTGTACAGGAAATATCCCGTAGGGGCCACTATCTGTCCCAGGTGGTGGATGTACCTCATGAGACAAACGTCCCCCCTGTCATAGCCGCCTGTAAAAATACCGACCCGCCGGCGGCGGAGCATAAGACGGCGGCCATGATTGGGCGGAAAATGGGGGCCCGTGCATCACTTCCTGTTCTGGCGAAGGGGAAGGGAGCTCCCAGGCGGCCGCCTCGCGGCGAGGGATCGCCTCCGGGAACAGCCCCCAAGGTGGGGCGGAAGGCTTCGCCTCCCTCTCGCGCCGGGGAGCGCTCAGGAGCTCTCTACTCCTCCGCAGACCAAGTTGAGCGGAGCGCAATTCACGGCGCAACGCTGGGAAAGAACCCTGCGACTCCTTATCGAGCGACTTAGGCTCCTGACAGCTGGTCTCTTTGGCCTCCTTGCCATTCAACTTTCCCTCGTCCTCGGAGTCAGACGACTCCGAGGCTAGAGCCCCGTCCTTCTCCTTAGCATCTTTGTTCCCCTTGACGGGCCCCTCTCGGGAGCTCCCCGACTGGGCCTGCTCAAATACCCTGCGTACTTTTGTAAGCTCTTGAGAGCTTTCTCCACAACCACCCTCGCTCTTAGTGTTGCTACCTAGCATGTTTCCCATCTTTTAATATGTTACTCACCGTGTGAGGCCCAAGGAATCCGCCACTTACGCGTGAGCCTGAGGGGAGTCTAAAAGCCCTGTAGGTGCGCGCCACCCAGAGCCCAGGCTTATCCCCAACTCACCTGTCTCGCAGCTCTGTACTGGAGCGTTGTCCGCTGTCACGTCTCGGGGGTGATCAGTCCCCGTACGGGCCACCAAATGTCGATGTTGCTCCCGGCCGGCAGGAAGGACACACGACAAAGTCTGGCAGTGGACAACCTTTTCTTTTATTTTTCTTCTCCGTACAGCCTGCCCTGGGATCGCTCCCAGCCGAAGCCTCCTTTGGTCCGCTCCCCGCGGCTCCTTCTGGGCTTCTATTTCCGGGCTTCTTCTTCCCCCCCAGGGGTGGCACCAGTATATATACGGATACAGTGTCCAATCATGTTAAAGTAAGCAAGGCAAGCTGATTGGCTAACATCATCAGTTGCCAGGCAGACTATATTGTTGAGCGGGTTGCTTACGCGGTAAGCAGGAAACTAACGTGCTCGATGGGAGGGGTAATCTACCTCAGGCTTTACTCTTTACTACAGGCCTCACGTCCGCCAAGTGAGGCGACCGGGCTCGGGGCTGCGGCTCCCAACAAAGATGCAGCTCTGGGGCAGTGCATTTGCCTAGCAGATGTGAGGCCCTCAATTCAATCTCCAGCATCAAGGAAGGGGTGCAAGGGTGAGCTATTTGGGAAGATCAACACTCTTCTGTCTCCTTATTCTGTCCCAGGCTCGGCTTCAGCCCCTGCACTGCAGGGTCAGGCTGTGGGGAACATGGCCAGTGACTTCAAAGACCAAATAAGAGGACAAGTTTTGCCATGAGCTCAGCTGGCTGATCCAAGCGCCTCTCAGGCGCCATCTCCACTGGGCTGTACGAGCAGGGACCTAAACTTCCCATCCCCGCAGCACTTGCCTTGGTTCGGCACAGGCTTTAACCTCCAGTGTCTCATATAGCCAGAGAGCTTCCCTGTTCCCTGCTTATTCAATCCCAGACACCTTACATAATGGAGAGCAAGGGCTGAGTACCCTGAGGGGTGACAGAGGCTGTTGCGTGTGTGTAGGCACGTCAGTCTGCACTTCACCATGCTCTAGGTAGAAAAGGGGTCCACTAGCACCCAAGTTCTTCAGTGGTACTGGAACAGACAGAGCTTGGGTGCTTGCTAAGGAGCCATTTTAAAGAAGACAAAAGGAGAAAATGACCCCTGAGTTCAGGGCTGGAGAGCAAAGGACGTGAAGAGACACATGCATACTTCCTGATGGCACTGTGTGCGGGGCTTCACGGGACTACTGGGAAGGGGCCGTGGGATTGGAGCGGGCTCTGTGGAGAAGGGGAGGCCTCTGGATGGCCTCTTAGGAGTCAGGGCTTGGAGAAGGGAGACACCAAAACCCAGCAGCAGAACTGAGCTGGGGAAGGGGCTCGGGAAGTGTGCAATAATTCCCAAGCAGGAGGGCAGGAGCACACAGCATGCTACAGATGCAGTGAAAGGCAGATAGCATAGAAGACAGAGACTGGATCCTGGGTGGCTCGTGGAAGTCAGAGTGTATTCTTACATGATTGGCAATAAGGGGAAACTGTAGATGGCAGAGGAGAGGCAGGACAGGAATTGTATTTTAGGAGGATTGCAGATGTGTGCAGTCTGACAAATGTATGTAAATTCACCTGTTTGGAGGAGGATTGAGAGCAGAGAGAGGAAAGCAAGGCATCACCACTGACGTTTTCTGTCCGTCCTTCTGTCCATGTTCTTAGCCCTCAGTGGCCATACCCAGAGGTCACAGATCTCTAGCATCCTTCCTAACTTGTTATCGGTAGGCAAACCAAGCAGTTAACTCATAAGAAGAACTCTGTAAATAATGAAGATTGTGAAAAATAATAGTTATGACACGGGAAAGTGGCCAGTCTGGTGGTTCTTGGGTGGGGCTTGGTGTATGCTCACGACTCCAATTCCGAGGACAGGGCCTAAAGGGTTAAGCAATTCTTCATGTTGTCCGCACTTACCTGTTCCCTGTTCACTTCTCATCAAAATGAGTCGTCTTCTAAAATGAAGACTGGGACACTTGAGATGGCCCTGGTCTACCTCAGCAGAGCTACCACGAGGCAGGCTTCTGTGAATGGGATTTCATGCTTCTTGCCTTCCTCCTTTTCAAGAGTTGGAGGATCAGGAGAAGGAGGCATCCATGGAAGGCAGAAGCAAGAACCTAAGGAGGGAAATCCTGGGGTGAAGTTTAGCCCTGAGCTCTCCCTGTAGGGCCCCTAAAGCTCTGTGTTAGCACAGAGCCAGAGGCAGCTCCCTGCTGATCCCCACATGGGCCCTCTGCATGTGCATCATCCTGTACTAGAATGAGCTTGAGCTAAGGGTCAGGAGGCTTCAGTTTCATTCCTGCTCTGTCCCTGGACACTTATGTGGACAACAAACCAACTGCTTGCCCTCTTGTGTGTCCAGGCCCTTGTGTGTGCAGTAGGGTGAGGGAAAGGGCATCGTCTGCTTACTTGCCTCCAAGCTATGATTTCAGGAAAGGCAGAATAGTGGAGGGTTTGAAGGGATTCCAGATCACAAGTTGAGAAAGATGGGCTTTTGCTGGAATACATGATGACCAGGAAGGTCAGATTGTGTCCATTTGAAATGTGTGCATTTTATCTTCTAGATTTAGCTTCTTGAGCCATGTGCACATGCTCTGGTCCTTATGTGCTGTTTTTACTTTAATTCAGAATCACAGAGTTGATTGGTTACCACCCGGAGGAGCTGCTTGGCCGCTCAGCCTATGAGTTCTACCATGCTCTGGACTCGGAAAACATGACCAAGAGTCACCAGAACTGTAAGTTTGAGGAGTGCCTCATGGAGCATCCTTGGGTCCATAGAATCTGGCGTTGAGTGGGGTGTGTGGTTGATGGGACAGAAAAGACCAGGTCACTTCCTTCTAACAGATACCATCCTATGTGGTAGATAAGAGTCCCTCCTTCCAGATGGCTGGCAAACCAAGCTGCCAGCAGCCTATGTATATAACACTTGCATTCAAATTAGAAAAAGACCTTTCCGCCAGAGGTACACCCATGCCAAGGCATACAGCTTGGAGAGTGGAGGGTGGGCTGAGTCTCAGTCCCCACACACCATTTCTGCCTAGAATACTCAAGCAGTCATCAGTCTGCATAATCCTCTAGGAGAGCCCTTCAGGGAATAATTCAGGACAACATATAACCAGTTTATTCTATAATGTATCTGTGCATGATATACATGATATACATACAGGAGTTATGGAAGGAAGAAAGGGCACTTGAGTTAGACCTTGAAGGACAGAGGAGGCTGGGGCGAGGCAGAGGGAAGGCAGCACAGGACCGCTTCCTACACAGAGATTGCTTGCAGGTCCAGTGTACCTTTAGAGGAAGCTGCTGGATACACAGTGCTGGGGTGCAGAAACTCTGCTCTACAACTTGGCAAAACGAGTACCATGAAGGAGGGTTCCAGGACAGGGCTAGCCAGTAGAACCTTCTGCCAGAGAAATGTTCTGTATCTGTGAGGCCATATGTGGCCTATGCAGTACTTGAAACATGCCTGGTACAACAGAGGAGCTGAATTTTTAATTTTAATTTAAATAGCCATGCTTGGTTTGTGCCCACCATAGTGGGTAGGGTAGTTCTAAAGTGTACACTTGACCAGGCTTCCACTCAGGCTTCCCATCTGCAAGTGACTCAGACTGATTGCCTTGAATCCGGGTACCATCAGCCTGCAGAGACTCTGGGTCTCGCACACTGTACTTAGCCTGTGGGCACCACAGGAATTGGTAGAATTGATCTCTAGGAGACGGAATTTGATTTTTAAGGAAAGGAGAGGAATGAGGTTTCCCTGGAAGCGAGGTGGCTGATACCCTTAACCTTGGTGTCACCAAATGAATATTTGGGAAAGAATGATCCCAGCTGTGCCCATATTGGTGCAGACAGATACTAAGAGGGGTGTGTGCAGGAGGATGAAAATGGGTAAATCTGAGAGGATTTCCAGGGCTGGCAGTGAAGAAAATGGACACTATTTTTCCATTGCTCCTAAGTCCATCCTTACATCGCAGCCTCAGAACTGCTGTGGCTCAGAGCAGCCAACAGCTTGGCAGCCCACAGCTGCACACGAGCACAGGTGACACAGAGAGGTCTGCTCTTTCTCACTGGTCCCTCTCCTTCCTCCTGGAGGCTTTTGTGTTTGATCTTACAGTAAAACAGGGACCACAGTGTTACATATCTCAGAGCAGCTTTTCACTATGGTTCCTAGCAAGAAAATAAACACACCAAGACCCTAGGTGTAGGCCCACTTGGAAAACCAGGGAAGGGGCGGGGGCAGTGTTCACGTGCCACGCATGTGACCAAACCCTAACCTGCCCCAGCTTTGAGGTTGTAGGACACAGGTCTCTTCTTCCCTTGGAGACACACTTTTTTCTGATAAGGATGGGTCCTGCTTCTAAAGTGACAGTGGCAGAGTCGTGCAGACATTTGGCTAAACACTCAGCTTTGACTCACTGATACCCCAAGACCTGGCCTCCTGGACCTCTGTGCCTTTGCATATAAGATTCAGATAAGTCCAGCTTTCTAAGCCAAGGGAGAAACCAATGCAGGGAACAAATGTAACACTTTTCTGGGAATTCTTAGAGAACAGTATTGTACTTCATCTTACAGAGAAGAGGAACAGAAGCTGCCATCTAAGACTTCATTCCAGACATTAAAAAAGGGATTTTTGTTCCTTCTTAGAACCTCTCTGATCTATAAAAAGGGTCCCAGTCCTATCAATTTTCTACTGATTCCGAGGAAAAATGCTGGGATTTTGTTGGTGATGTTGCTGACACTGTTTTACTGAATCCATGTGTTAAGCTTTAGACACCCTTAGTGGTTAGTCATTGCCCAATAGAAATCACACGCTCCCTTCTTCTGATAGGGCCCCAAAAAGCCGCCCTGAGCTCAGAGTCCTGTGCTTGCCCTGCAAGCCCACATCCCACAAAGCCAAACCTGCCTGGGTGGATACTGGGTGAATGTCAATTATGACAGACATCAGTCTCCCCACAGTACGGATGGGTGTGTGTCTATGGGTGTGCAATTTTTCTAAATTTTCACACAGATTCATACGTGCTATGGAGCAATTGGAGGCCTAGGTTTGAGGCTGGTCCAAGTTTGCACACTGAGGTCCTGAATTATCACACGTATGTCTGTCTCATCTCTCAATGTTTACCACTAAAGTGACCAGCAAAGCTCAGTCTTCAATCAGATTGAGATAATTGAAAGCTATCGTTTTCAAATGGATTAATAATTTATACATTGTCACTCTCAGAGGAGGGGCTGGGGGCTGGCTTCTCTTTGTTGTTTGAGAACATGTGCTCTTAGGAAAACAAGATTAAAGGCCATAAAAAAGCCTATCGCCCTACTAAGTAGCAGGCCCCTCACCAAGGCTGGCATTAATGAGCAGATGATTGGAAGCTGGCGCTAATTATATTCTACTGACAGAGCAGGCCCTTGCCTGCAATTACTAGAAATGCAGTTAAAACCTCTGCTGGCTGTGCTGTTCAATCAAACAGAAAAAGAGCCCTGAATTCAGTTTGCATTAAGAACTGTCTAAATAATTAATGCCAGGTGCTTGAAACAGTGCAAACACCATCGTACAGCAGCAGTGGAGGTTCAACGGCACAGAGAGGGGGACAGAAAACCTACAAGGTACTGATTTGGTCAAGGAATCCAGGATGGCTTAGGGAAGTGGTAACGGAAGACTTCACCTCCCACTGATTTTTGACTTAATGGAGCACGAGAACATTGTGCTGGGAGCCACAGGACCGTTACCTAGCCCAGAATTGGTCACGATTGTCCTGTGTCATTATGAACTGAGTCATGACTCTTCTGGCCTTACTACTGTGTGAAAATGACACCTATCACAGGATTCTGTGAAAAAGATTAGGCAAAGGTAATATGATCCCTTAGGAAAATAGTTTGATCGCTTCTTGTATACTTACATGGCTTATAATCTAGCAGTTGTACCCAAGAGAAGTGAAAATATCCATAAGGAGAGTTGCACACAAAGGTCTATAGTGCTTTGAGTTTTCAGTTTTTGGTCATTATAAACAAACATTCAGGTGAGAGGATAAACTAGTTAAAGTACAACATCCACATAATGGAATACTACTCAGCAGTGAAAAGGAAAGAGCCACAAGTTACGGATGCTGATTTTGACAGAGCCAGACACAAAAAAGTGTGTACTCTTGTATTCTTCTATTGCTGTGAAAATCTATGAGACAATATATGACAATAAATAATTTAATTGATCAGTGCTTGTCTGGAACCAGGGGTAGGAATAGCTGGGAATCGATGTCAGGAGGCATTAATGGCATTGGGGGCAGCAATAGCAAAGTGCTTATACCTTCACTATGGTGATAGTTACTTACATGTATGCATTTACCAAAACTCACTGAACTATATGCTTAAAACGTGTGCATTAAATTAATTTTCAAAGTTTTTTTTTGAGAGCAAGTCTCACTACACAGTTCAGACTGACCTGGAACTCACAGAAATCTTCCTGCCTCAGTCTCCTGAGTGCTGGGGTCATAGACATGCATGGGGATATACTCAACAGTAAAGTTTGTTTTTAAAAATGAAAAGCAAAGAAAGAGTCTTTAATTTAGGCTGTAAGCCTGTGTGCTATTTCTGAGGAAGCCTTTCAGCAAATCACTCAGCAGTTCTAAGCGAAAGGAAACCTGTGTGGATGGCAGTTTCTTCACACGGGTAGCAGAGGGCTGGGGCTGCTGCTTAAGTGAGGTAACAATGGCCCCAGTCCTCATGGAGTGCCTTATATGCCAGGCGCTGATCTAATCGCTCTGCAGAAATGAATTCACTCCAGAGTTTTGGACACCACAAGGCCCTATAGACGGGGAAGTTACAGTAATTCCTGAACCCTGCCAGTGCTTGTTAAATGTCGGAAAGGGTCAGCTGTGCCCAGCAAAACATAAGCATTAAGGATTGCAGTCAGCAGTGTCATGAATCAGGCTGTGTTCCTCTGCCATGCAGAGCTGCTGGATGGGGAGGTGGCCCATGAACCTACCAGCACTGGGAAGACCCTGTATTTATAGAAAACCTGGGTGTTCTCCTGTGTCATCCACAAACATGTATCGTAACTACCTGTGGCAGCGCTGACCACTACTGTATTTATTAGTAGCTTTGGGAAAGAGTTTGCGTTTCCTATACAACATCTATGTAACTGATAAACCAGGCAAGTACATTTGATCCTGGGTACAAAGAGCAGTGGCGTACGGAATGACAGTTATGCTTATTACCATCATCAGTACCCTATTTTGCAGAGAAAGAAAACAAAGGATTGTTCCTTTCCCAACCAATCTAGAAATATTTCCATCAGGCTTCTTCCCACTTCTCTGTGACTCGAAGGCTTCCAACCTGGAGTTTGAATTCCCAAGGAATAAAGCAAACAGGCAGTTCAGAAAACTATTGGAAATTCTAACATCAGCAGACCAAAATGCCAAGAAATATATCAGCTCCAGAAAACAGATGCAGCTTTCTGGACTGGGGACAGTTTGGGATGTGGGGCCCCTTCTGCAATGTTCTTAAACAGTAAAAACACATTTTAAATGAACAGAATAATCTGAAAGAGGAAAAAAACATAAGCAGGTAGCCTTGCTGAGCCACTGGGAGGGAGGAAGAGAAAGGTCCTATCACTAGCTCTCTCTTGAACTTTTCCCCCCAAGAGTCATTTGCCTTGAACCTTCTCTGGCCCCAGAAATGACAGACTGACAGAGACCTGGAAAAATGAAAGGCATTAGGGGCTGGAGATTTATTTAGCTCAACGGCATAAGCGCCTGCCTTGTAAACGTGTGGTCGTGAGTTTGATCCCTGGTACTGATATAAAAAAAAAAAATGAAAGGTAGCAATTAAACAAACCTGTGCTTATAAGCAGGCTGAGGTGCTGCAAAGAGCAGTCTTTAGCTCAGGCTACATCCAAACCCCCTGCCCCCTGAGGGTTTGATGGGCAGGGGCGTCTTCCCCTGGGCTTGGGAGGTCAGGAGGGCATGTGCTGCTCTGGGTCCTGCTTCTAGATGAGCTAATCTGTCAACTGATTTGGTTAGGGCTGATGGAGGGCCATGGCAGAGCTGCAGTGGGAGGGTTTCTCTGTTTCAAATGAAGGGCTGACACGAGGATCTCTAAGCTTCCTCTCCCTGGTCCTCACTTCCCATTCCTGCAGACTGACCTCCCCTATTTCTCTGATCTTGGGTCCCTTCTTCTCCTCCCATAGTGTGCACCAAGGGACAGGTGGTGAGCGGCCAGTACCGGATGCTAGCAAAGCACGGGGGCTACGTGTGGCTGGAGACGCAGGGGACCGTCATCTACAACCCTCGCAACCTGCAGCCCCAGTGCATCATGTGCATCAACTACGTCCTGAGGTGAGTTGCGAGGGCTGGCGGTGTGGCCAGGTATGAGGAGGTCCTGGGAACTCCAGCCTCTAGGAGTGGGGGGGCACCGTATCTGGGAGCTGTTTGTAGTGCTGGTCTGAGAGGACTCCTAGGAACAGTGGGTTGCCTAGGAATTTTTCTGCCCCTTCCCCTTTTTCTGTCATTATGCCACGTCTGTGCCAGATAGCACACAGCAGTCACTTAATATTTTCTGCATGGGAAAATAGGCAGAATCGTGGGTGCAACCCCTTCCCTCTCCAGCACCTGAGAAGACACCAGAAGAAATCATGGCTCAGGTGAAACACAGGCAGAAGCATCCACCCAGATCAAGACGTGCACAGTCAGGGGTCCCCCTTCTCATCACTGCCTCCACATCAGACTTCCACAGGGTGGCTCTTCACAAAATACCAGCACACAGCGCCCCACCCATCCTTGTCTGAGAGACTTGGCCCTCAGTTTTCCCTTCCCTGAGTCCGAGGGAGCCAAAGAATTTTGCTAGAAAATATGGAAAGTCTGAATGGCTCTCTTGTCCCATTAGTGAGATTGAGAAGAATGATGTGGTGTTCTCCATGGACCAGACCGAATCCCTGTTCAAGCCCCACGTGATGGCCATGAACAGCATCTTTGACAACAGTGATGAGATGGCTGCATCTGACAAGAGCAACTTCCTGTTCACCAAGCTGAAGGAGGAACCGGAGGAGTTGGCCCAGCTGGCCCCCACTCCCGGAGACGCCATCATCTCTCTGGATTTCGGTGGGTGCTTCTTCGCTAAGTAGCTCTGCAGGATCCTCTTGGCGCTAGGGGTGACTGTTGCCACAGCAGTCCTCTAGCTACAGCTTCTCCTAAACCAGAGTCGCCCCAGGTCTGCTCTCTGGGGAGTCTGTAAAGGATCCCCCTCAGAGGCCATTCCTCCCAGCTGGACCTGCATGCTCTCCAGACCCTGCTAGGCCTGTGTTGGGATTGTGGGTGTTCATCAGGCAGGCCCTTGTCTGCACAGGGAATCAGAACTTCAAGGAGTCCTCAGCCTTTGGCAAGGCCATCCTTCCCCCCAGCCAGCCGTGGGCTGCAGAGGTGAGGAGCCACACTGCTCAAAAGGAGGCTGGAAGCCTGCCCGCCTTCACCGTACCCCAGGTGGCCGACCCCGGGAGCAGTACCCCCAGTGCCACAAGCAGCAGTGGCTGCTCCACGGTGAGCCCCCACTCCTGTGTGCGTGTAAAGAGGGAGGAGGGGGCTTCTCCTCCTAGTGCCCCCAGATTGCTAAAGAGAAAGCACGACAAAATTACGTGCTGTGACCCCTGCTTCCATCTCTTGCATAGCCAGACCCTCACCCCCAGGATCAGAGCCCATCCCTGGCTTTCGGCATCCATTCTGCACTCCTGTCATGGAGGCTTGGTCCTTAGGCATCGCACTCAGTCCCTGTGCAAAGCCCTGCTGGCCACAGCCTTTGTGTAGTTTGCTCCTTCAGCCATCCTATGAAATGATGAGCCTCGCTTCATGAAACTGAGGTTCAGAGAGTCAGTGAGGTGACCTAATTCACACAGCACCTCCTTTACCAATACTTGGTGGAATGCAACTGAGCAGATCCAGGGATGGGTTTCTGCTTCCACATTGAGTGAGGGAGATGAGGGCCCTGGCCTTGACTGGGTCCCCCTCCTTCCTGGCCCCCAGCCCAGCAGCCCTGGAGACTACTACACATCTCTGGGGGATGACCTGAAGATTGAAGTGATCGAGAAGCTCTTTGCCATGGATACAGAGGCAAAAGACCAGTGCAGCACCCAGGTAGGCAGCTGAGCAGCAGAACAGAGTGGGAAAGGCTCCTGGCCATCCTGTGTTGCCAAGACCACTGAGGAGGCATGGCTGAGGCCCCTAAAATGGCCAAGGGTGCTGGGACAAGGTATTCTCTGATACCCACCTTCCTCATTACCTGTGCCAAAGCCAGAGCTCTCATGTTTAATCCTCAGCTACTGTCTGCTCTTTACTTGGATCCCTTTCTATCCACACATGCAACACAGCCACAATTCTGAACCGGTAACGGTGACTTCCTCCTAAAAGCGTGTCCAGACTCAAGATGTCACTCAGCATAGGGGCCAATTACTTCCTTCACAAACACATTCATTTTGGAATTTTGAAAAATAACTCATTTACTTCAAATGCACTTCAGATAACCTCTGACATTATTTGTATATAGCTTCTCAGGAATATGTTGGCTGCATAAGGCCATGTGTTCTTGCGTAAATGATATAAATGGAAGAGGTAGATGGCTGGGAAAGTATTTCTACGAAACCCAGAGAGAATCTGTGTGGCCCTATGTGTCTTAGTGTGGCTTGTGCATCTTTATGTCCATCTTGTACCTTCGTCCTACCCCTATTTTCCTCGCCCCTGCCCATGCTAGGGCCTGTAGTTGTGACCAGTACCAAGTTGCATCCTCGGTGGGGGCTCAGTCTCTGATCTCAAGAACTGTTTTCTGTATCTGCTTGTTACCTGTGATACCCTGAGTAACATCAGGAATTAGAAGTGGCCTCTGAGCATCTGCTGCCAGGAACAGAAGTCCCTCTGCCACTGAAAGCCAACTGTGTACCAGAGCATCTGGGTCTAGACCTGTGCCTGGCCAGATGAGAGAGATGAGGACGAGTTGTCCTCTGTCCCCAGATACACAGTGGGCACCACAAGCCTGAGCTATGCAGGAAGGCAGCTACTGCAGTAGTTCGGATGGGCTGGCTTTGTGGTGGGGTGTCCCTGGCTGGGAGAGAAGGTGGTTTGGGCACCTCAGGCTAGGGATGAGGTGACACTGGCAATGAATGAAGCAGGAATAAGCCCATGGAAAGAGGAGCCCTTGCACATCAGCTGGCCACAGGGAGCGAGTGGAGGTGCCTGAGCAGGCGGGAGACATGGTGAAGCATCCTTGAGATGCAGGGGAGGGACTGAGCTGGAATGAGACCAATCACTGAGCTCCCTGCACTCACTTGCTCCTTCCTCAGACTGATTTCAACGAGCTGGACTTGGAGACTCTGGCGCCCTACATCCCCATGGATGGGGAGGACTTCCAGCTGAGCCCCATCTGCCCAGAGGAGCCCAACCTGCCCGAGAGCCTGCAGCCCACCCCGCAGCCGTGCTTCAGTGCCATGTCGAGCATCTTCCAGCCACTGGCCCCCGTGGCCTGTCACAGCCCCTTCCTCCTGGACAAATACCGGCAGCAGCTAGAGGGCGAGAAGACCGAGCCGGACCATCGGCCCATGTCCTCCATCTTCTTTGATGCTGGGAACAAGGGGTCACTGCCATCATGCTGTGGCCAGGCCAGCACCCCTCTCTCTTCCATGGGCGGCAGATCCAACACACAGTGGCCTCCAGACCCACCATTACATTTTGGGCCCACAAAGTGGCCTGTTGGGGATCCACACACCGAGTCCTTGGGGACATCACCATTGGGGAACTCCACTGCCTCACCCCACATCTCCATGTTCAAGATGAGGTTAGTGACAGACGCATGGCTGCATTGCCAGGGAAGGGGACAGATAGGCACCCACTGGTGGGATAGTCAGGGCCCTGGGGGTGCTGTCTGCACTGTCCCCTCCTCTGAGTCACAGGCTTCTCATGCTCCAGTCAGCCCTTCCCAAACTCAGAGAGCTCAGCTCTGGGGCTCTCCTTGAGGGCTGCAAAGCCTGGAGCAGGACAAGCTTTTATCCAGGCTGGAGACTGGAGGTTGCTCAGACCTCAGCCCCGAGAGACCAGGCCCTTCAGTCCAGGTGAAGGCACTGGGCAGTGTGGGCTCCAGACTCCCTCACTGCCCGCTTTCTTGGGCTTGGCAGGTCTGCAAAGGGCTGCGGGCCTCGGGGCCCAGATGTGATGAGCCCGGCCATGATAGCCCTCTCCAACAAGCTGAAACTGAAGCGACAGCTGGAATATGAGGAGCGAGCCTTCCAGGACTCCAGTGGGGTGAGCTAACACAGCGCAGTGGGCACCCCTCACCGAGCCTGCCCTGGGCCCATGGGTGGCCCTGGCAGCTCCTCTCCTTACACCTGCCCTTCTCCCGTGCAGGGGGATCCTCCAGGCAGCAGCAGTTCACACTTGATATGGAAACGCATGAAGCGCCTCCGGGGCGGAGCTGGCCCTCTGGTGCCTGACAAGTCCTTGAGAAATCTCCAGGTCCCCACAGGTGAGCTCCCTGGGTTCTGTGGAGGGCCAGGAACTGACGACCCATCCAGCTCCTCCCCTCACTTGCTTCCTGAACCTGTGAAAATGAGTTAGCAGAAATCTCCAGGTTCTAACATCTTTCTCCTCTGTCAGATGGCATCACACTCACTCTCCACCCTTGATATTTCAGATGAATTTAACAAAAGCCCCCTGAGGGGCCTTGGCCAACCCCTACGACACCTACCGCCCCAGCAGCCACCATCTGCTGTGAGCCCAGGGGACAATGCCAAGAGCGGGTTTCCTCCTCAGTGCTATGCTGCCCCATACCAGGACTACAGCCTGCCATCCACTCACAAGGCATCAGGTGGGTGCTTGGTGGCTCCTACCACATCCCGGGGCTGCCGTGGTGAGGAAGCTGGGCTTGGCAGGCAGGTAGACATTGATACTCTCACAGAGCATTGTTTGGTGTTTAGAAAAGTTGCAAAACTGAGAAACACATGCCTTCATAGAATAGCACTTGGGGACAGCAGGGACTCTAAGTGCTATGATGCTGGGTTTCCCAGGGCTGAGGCCAGGCACAGGGCAATACCTTGCCCAAAGAGTCCCCTCCCAGGGCTCAGTCTCCCTCAGTTTTAGACCTACCCCCTCAGGCACCTAAGACATGACTAGCAATATTAGAATACCTAACATGGACTCGGGCCAGAGAAACTAAGGGAAAGAATCCAATCCCAAGAGGACTGCGATTTGTTATGCCGTCCCATCACTGACCTCCCCACTGTTGGGTAAACTGAAGTTGGGGACTGATGGAAGCATGTCTGTAGAAAAGGGTCAGCTGAATGGTAAAGGACCAGAGGCTGTGACATGTCGGGGCTGTTGAAGAGAATATTAGGCATGAAGGGGAGGTATGCAAGGACCTAGACACAGACATCACAAGATGGCGAGTCATGGCTCTGAGTGGTTTAGAAGGAATTCTCCCATGACCAGGTCACCTCCAGGGCTGCTGCTGCTGTACAAGTCCTGGAGCCTGTGTCTTTCGATGTTTTACACGTTGCTCTGGGGTCAGGCAGAAGCTGAGCAGAGTCTGTGCACTGTAGGGAGGGAAGCCTGAGAGAGACTATCCAACCATTGGACCCTGGCTTCCTGAAGGGTTAGCTACAGTCACCAAAATGTATATGCAAAACATAAGATGGCTTTGTGAAAAAGTATATTTGATACGAGCAAAAAAAAAAGATCCTTGTCCTCAGCAGTATTGTTTAGAGAAAATTATAGTTTTGCTCAGAGATCAGCCATAAATTCCAGAACTGCTGCTTACCAGCTGGATGGTAGGCCAGCCAGAAAGTTTAAATGAGAGATTTTCATGTCATATATCGAGTTAAGTGACTGGAATATGTCTGTCTAGTCAACAGTAGGCAGCATTGTTCTTCCTTGATGAACTCCGTGAGATTCTTTATGAACTCTGTGAGTTTCCTCCAATCTCATCTTTTCAACTCAGATCATTTCTGACTGTGAATAAGAGAGGTGAACATATCAGCAAGTATCTGCTAGAGAAGTACATGCTAGCAGGGAAAGAGCAGCAGGAAGAAAAGGCCAGCTGGGGATGAGGCTCTGCAGATGAGGGCAGGGAAAGCAGCTCACCCTGATGCCCAGATGCGCACCAGCACGAGGACCCCAGAGCCTTGAAACTTAGAGCAGGACCCATGTGCACGTGTGTGTTCTGTGCGGGCTTGCATCCATGCACATATATCTACATGCATGTGTGCATAGGCACCAGGGTGTTCCAAACTCTTTTTCTTCCCTACCGCAAGTGCACAAAGGTATGGGATCCGAAGCCCCAGTCCTCGCCATCCTCTTCCTGGAGGCTCTTTTGCTGAGGCTGGCCAGTCATACAAGGGCCCCTCCATCAAACCTCTGCTCAGTCTGCTTTTCCCTTCCTTAGGTCTGAGCCCTGCTGAGGTGGGGATGGAAGCACATACCTTCTCTGCTGAGCCCGAGCTGGGGAATGAATAGGTCATAGGAAACAGAATGGTGAAGAAACTCGATGAAATTAGGGCTTCCCAATCCAACCCCACTAACACGAACTTTCTGCACAGACCTTGAGCAGTGTGTGATCCAGGATTTTTTCTTTCAGGCTTAGCAAGCCGGCTGCTTGGGCCCTCGTTTGAGCCTTACCTGCTGCCCGAACTGACCAGATATGACTGTGAGGTGAACGTCCCCGTGCCAGGGAGCTCCACACTCCTGCAAGGAGGGGACCTCCTCAGAGCCCTGGATCAGGCCACCTGAGGGGGGGCTCTGTGCCAGCCACACCCCTGCCGACGCTGTCCAGCCAGCTTCACTCTCTAGGTCTGTTTCTGCAACTAGGTATTTCTAACATCAGCATCCTTTTTACAAGATGTACTTACCTGGCCAATTTGCCCAGGTCACCAAGCAGTGGCCTTTTTCTGAGATGCTCACTTAATCATCCTTATTTTTAAAATACACGGTTGTTTTACCTGCTACATTTTGCTGTCAGTGAAAATGTTCTTAAATTTTGTAAGAGCCTCCCTCCCCACCTTCAATGACTTATAATTTATATTACCCAGAGTTTTCTGTCTCACACATCCACACCATCCATACTAACAAGTCTGGGGGATGTTTGCTCTCCGGTAGGGAAAGCTTTGGCTTCATTTAATTAAGATTTTTTGTTATTGTTGTTGCCAAAGAAAAACTAAAGGATTTTTGCTTTCTAAATGTGGTTTGTGGCTTTTCTCTTTCAAAGATTTTTCTTGTTTGCTTTTTAAAAACTTATCACCATATTGTAAATTTCACTCTTTTTGTCGTTGTTGTTAAAGCTGACTCTGCTCCAATTTTGATGTGACTTATGGGGGAAAGGCAGTGTGAAAGGTGGACTCCAATGTATATGGTTACCTGGGAAAGTTGCACAGTATAGCTTTTCCTGTACTGTTTGGTGCCCCCCAGTCGGGTGGATTTTTTATTATTATTATTCAAAAGCATAACTGAATTTTTTTAAAAGGAAAATTTATATCTGGGCTAAGTGTTTATCATATATATGGGTACTTTGTAATATCTAAAAACTTAGAAGTGGACATGCTCACACAATCACTTTCAGATCTTTCTGAAGCTGTTAATTTTCTTTTCCTCAGTGTTGCCAACACTGCAGAATTATACAGTACTCCCACAGGCCTGTACTAATACCGCTCACACTGTCTGCTGATATTTTGCGTTTGGGTTACGCCATAGGTGTGACAATCCGCGTGGGAGCACTGCGAGCTGTCTTCTCCTCGTGTTCTCTGTGTGTCATGTATGGATGTCTGTCGTATTATTGCTGCCAAGAGGGTCTGCTGGCATGTCAGGGGTGGGGGTGGGGAGGAATGCTAAGGGAGAGGAACTGCTTTACCCTTTCTGAAAGCTGTGTTGCTAGCCCTTCAAGTGCACTGAGCTATTGACTGTGTTGGTCTCTCACACGGCACATTTGGATATTTCCACAACTACCATGAAATGGTTTTGATGGGAATTCATAAAAGCAAGTGAGGCTTCAGAAACGACCAGGTCCGTGTCCTCCTAGCGCACGACCTTGGAGCCACACAGAGAGAGGGTGGCCAAGTGGAGGGCTATGGGGACTGACCACTGGCCAGTCCCTGGGTCAGCCGTACGAGGCCTCGTGCAGCGCCCCCTGCTGGCAGGCAGCTGGCAGCCCTCCAGGGATGGGCCCTAACCTCAGGTTCTCTCTGAGATGTCTGTCACGTAAGGTGACATGTATAGGTAGGAAGCACTGAAAACAGTGTTCCCAGAGCGCTTTGTAACTCACTGGGTAAGAGGGACAACACCTTTTGGTTTTTCAGTACCAATCAACATGGAGCTTATCTGTTGTGGATACAGTAAGAAGTTTCTAGACACACACGAGGCATATCAGGCCATGAGTTTGGTAAGCCCAGAGGGACTTACTGTCAAAACCAAAATTCACTTTTCAAAAGAAATCTAAAGTATATGAGAAAAATTACATAATCACTGCGTTGCTAAAGTTCACTTTAGCAGCACAGTGGGGCCCATCACGCAGGGCAGAACTTGAAGGGTTACTGACACCTAAATGCTGGTATTTGATTTCCTGTGTGTGTTCCCTCAGGGGCATTTTACCCTTGCAGTTTGACTAAAACACTCTAAAAATTATTCCAAGCTTCATATTAACCTTACCTGTCAACATAACAACTTCATGAACATTATTATATTGTTGAATTCCTACTGACATTGTAACTGTATGGGAGCTTAACTTTATAAGGAAATGTATTTTGACACTGATATCTTATTAAAGTATTCTGATCCTGTAACTGCTGGTGGCTCTTATTTCCTGTGGATTGGTCACGGGCTGCACCAATGGAAAGTGAAGTACTTTTGTAATAGCTTACAGGGCATGAACATTGGCACTGATCTTGGTGAGATAGCTGGGCCAGCGGACAGGAACCCTGGCGAAGGAAGGAAAATATGATTAATACTTGGCAACTACATTTCTGCAGGTATTTGGCCCTGCTCAAGTACTCAAGCACCAGACACAGGACCCACAGAAGCCTCATTTTTGTCCTGTTTCAAGCAACTCAGTGATGACTCTGGATTAAATGCACCTCATTTAATATTTTGCTTTTCAAAATGCAGGTAGCTTAGGAGTAGGTATAGGCCTCCATAGACATGGGTAGAGAGGCTGGGTCCCTCCCTGCACAGAATTTAAAACTCTCAAGCCCTTGGGGCTCCTCCCAACTCTAGACATGTTCTCTAGGCAGGCAGACCCCAGTGGGGTGAGATGCTTCTACACTGCCCTAGCTGGTAGCCTCCCAGAGAAATCTCTATGGGAGGAGGACTCAGACCCAAGACTGGATAGAGAAGACCCACTCTGATTCATGCAGGACAAACAGATCCTACCCCTGCATGATCTCTAGGGCACAGTTGAACTCTGGTTTTTCGAGAGATACAACTCACTTAGTTCCTTTACAGTATGCAAGATTTAATTAGCTATAGCTTTCCTCTCTTGAAATCTGTCCATCTTCTGCTTTTTGGGATAAAGGACTTTCATGGGGAAGCCTGTGTAAAGAGTGGTCAGGTTCTCCTGGCCCTGCTTTTCCTGAGACAGCACTCACTGGATGTGTTGTCTTGGCTGGCTGGTGCTGTAAGGGGTACGGAAACAGTCACTTAACTTCTCACCTCTTTATTTCAGAGATGAGACAGAACAGACCCAGGGAAACACAGTGGCTTGCCTGTAGTCACACACTGATTAAGTGGCAGGGCTGATGTCAGCATCATGGGGACAGAGTGAACTCACAGAGGAAAGGGGCCACCACGCCCTCCCCCAGGCTGGTTCTCGGTCCCTCCTACGTAGTCAGGCCTGCTGGCCAAGGAAGTGCTCCTCATCCTGCCTCCAGATTGAAGGCCTGGCCTGGTTACTTCCTACAGGATACTTTCAGTTCTTCTAAAATGATCACTACCCAACTGTCACTCCTGGGTGTTCAGAAATTCCCATGAACTCTCTGACCTCTGTGGGAACTGCTTGGCCTCTCAATGACCTTGGTAAAGTCTTCATTCCGTCACTTCAGGCTGACAGGACTTAGGAGAAAAGTATTTCAAAATGTCTCCCCAGTCCACCTAACACACATACACACTCGGGTGATCTAAACTGGGACTTCTCCTGTGGAGTCCTGCTCCTTCTCTCCAAAAACTTACCAACTAGTAAAGGACACAAAACAGAAGCCATCTTGAATGATGGACATGCTGTGTGAGGTGGTGTGGACAAAGTAAGCCCTGGCCCAGCTTTCTCACAGTCTCCATGATAGATCTTAGGCTCCATGATCCCCAAATGTGCATTTGGGCCAACAGCCCCATGGTAGGTTCAAAAAACACCCACCATTTACAGATACGAATGAGCCCCTGGTGTTTGGGTGGATCCACCTCCTGGCAGGGTTTAGAGGTAGCAAAGGAATCAGCCTGGGTCTGGGAGCTAGAGCAGAAAAGAACTAGAGGCGGGAAAGGACAGAGGTCAATCCAGGAGATGTACCAGAGGGACAAAGCCACTAAGTCACTTTGCAACAAATGCAGCTGGCCCTGGAGAGCAGGCAAGACAAGGCTGGCACAGCAGGAAAGGCTAGCACACACCTCAGGTTAGAAAGTCAGGGGTTCAAATCCCAGCTGTGCTTTGAAAGCCCATACCAGCTCTTCTGTCCTTGGGCAGGAAAATAGTTCCTGCCTTAAAGCTAAGGCTGCAGCTACAAACTGGTTAGTGGGACGGAAATTCGTGAGATGTGAGTAAATGCACCTGTAAGTGCTGAGGACAGAGAACAGAGGTACTAGGTTAGAGAAGAGGCAGCAGCTCAGGAGGGTGCTATCCCCAAAGCCAAGAGGACAGTAAAGAAAGGAGGGACTCGCCTGGCCACACACTAAACCAAAAGGGAAGATGAGGAAAACATCGACTTGGGTTTGCTAACCTGAAGTCATCCTTGGCCTTCACAGAGCAGTTTTTGGGTGGGGTTGAGGAGCGCAGGCTGACTGAGGACTGAGAAATAAGCTGGCTGGTGAGGGGGGACAGATGTACAACAGTTCTTTCAAGAGGTTTCCCTGTCAAGGTTGGCAGAAGAATGGAAAGAAGCTGGAGGAAGACATGGGTCGGGGAATTTGTGAACCTGTTTTTAATATTTAACCAACTTTCACCTTAGAATAGGGTTAGCTTATGAGAATATTGTAGCGCATTCCCCCATCATTACCATGACTGTGGTACACATGTCACAATTAGTGAGCCAGTATTCATACGTTATCTAAACTCTATACTCAGATTTCTTTACTTTTTACCTGATTTCTTCTTTCCCTCCTTTTTTCCTGTTCCGAGGTCCTATTCAGGAGGCCACATTACATTTAGCCATCCCAGCTGCCTCTGTTTCTCTTAGGTTTTTTGGTATTTTTGGTGACCTTGATGGTTTCAAAACAAACTGATCAGGCATTCTGTAGAACCTCCTTCCCTTTGGATTTGCCTGTTGTTTTTCTGGCTGGAGGTTCTGGGCTCTGGGGAGGAAGACCTCAGAGGTAATGTATTCCTCCTGCCTCCTGTGAAGGGTCCATGCCATCAACAGGACTTTCACTGTCAATGCTGACTGATCACTTAGTTGAGATAATATTTTTCAAGAGAATTCGCTGTTGTTTTTAAAGGTTAGATATATTAGAACATGTTTACAGTGGTAGAGGGAGAGATTGATAAGGGCAAGAAAGAGACCATTGCAGGAGTAAAGCTGTCAAAACGATGAGATGGGCACAGATGGACTCCCGTGCTCCACACTGGACTGGCTTTTGAGTGGCATGCTCAGAACACCTTTCTAAGACAGGGTCACAGAGAACAGGCAAAAGATGGGGTCACTCGGATACAACCAGCACCCAGAAGATGCAGAGGAAACTCCAGGTGCTTCTATCTCTCTGTGAGATATGAAGCAAAACTATTAGCTGAGAGAAATGGGGGATTGCCAGGGGTTTGAGGAGAAAGAAGTATGAGATAGTTGTTTTAGAAGGTCAGGTCGATGATCGGTATTAGACGCTCAAACAAGATTTGTGGTCATGAATGGGTCCTTGGTCACAGTTAACCTTTGTTTCCAACCACATTTTTCTACTCTGAAACAACAAGAACAGGTAAGTCAGTTGAGTTTACCAGGTTGAGGTTCAGCTAAAAAGATATTGGGGGGAGTTAGGAAAGGCTCCCAGGGCAGGCACCATATGACAGACTGAAAACCAAGTTGTACGAGGAGAAAGAAATCAGAATGAAGAGACTGATGATCAGTTAAGGAATGATAGGCTCAGGGCATTGGGGTTTCAGTGAGGTCAAAGAATGATCTGAATGATGTGAGAGAAAGGTCACGATGAGGATAGAAAGCAGTTGTCAAGAAGACACTTAAAACTGAGACTTTACATATTCTAACCAGGGGACCCAGTGAATACCACCGTTAGGTATTTTTCCTAGGGAAGTGAAAATATTGTTTGTATGAAATCTGAACACAAATATCTATACTCTCATTTTTCATAATCACCAAGAATCAAAAGCAACCCAAACGTTCAACAAGACTACAGATAAAAACTCAGCAGTAAAAGTTAACACACTGGACTCCAGCAACGTGGATGAATTCCAGTGGTATTTCACTGAAAGAAACTAGTAACAAGAGAGTATATTCTGTTTAGTTCCATTTATATGACAGGCTGTTAGGACGAAAATATAGGGAGAGAACAGATCACTGCTTTCCGGGGTGCAGGAGAGTACAAATGTTTGAGTACAGAGGAACAACAGGAGCGCGTTCTTTGGAGTAATGGAACTTTCTGTACGCTGCATGTGGTGGCGGTATGCATGCACTGGAAAAACATAGCACTGTACATAAGAAAAAACAGCTTTACTGTATGTGAGCTTGAAATGCTAGAAAACTGAAAGCAAACGTTGAGGTTTCAGAGGTGGCTGAAATGAAACAGAAGCGGAGGTGTGAGGAAGTGGGGGCCAGAGTGCTGTCTGTAGGTGACCAGGTGGGGGTTGAAGCCAGGGAGAGCAGAGATGGAGGGGACTGGATCACAGGAGGATGGTAACTAAGGCACTTGACAGCCCTGAGGAGAAACTGGAGTTTGGTGACACGAGGGGAGAAAAGGAAAAGTGCTTGGAAGCAAGGGGACCCTCCACTTCTGAGCCTTGTGGACAGAGCCAGCTGCACTGCATTACAGAGGAGGCAAAGGCATGCTCAGCAAGTGGCCACAGGTGTGCAATGGCCTAGTGATGTCAACTGGTTGATGAGTGCAGTGCCAGCGAGGATCTGGAGAACAGGGTGGGTTGGGAGGTGGCTAGGAGAGCAGAGGTGTAAGGCTGTGTGGGGTCAGAGCCCAGGTCGTGACTGATGGCCCAGAAGAGTTTCCATGCTGGTGATAGAGGTAAAGGGATTTGGGAGACCCTGAGATCACTATGGTCTCAGAGGCTGGAAAAGTCATCTGCTGCTTTTCAGGCCCCTCACATGGCCTGTGTGGACTTCAGTGTACAACAGGCTCAGGTTCTTCCCTTACTTTTTAATGGCAGGCCTTGGAGAGCCAGGGACAGCTCCCTCCTGATTTCCTGCCTGGTCAAAGGTAGCCCAGCTCATGTAGGAACAAAAAAAAAAAAAAAAAAAAAAAAAAGAACTGCAGTTGCAAGGCTCACTAAGCCTCAAACAAAGGAGGTTTCCTGATCCTCATTAGCCTGGCTGAGGGAGGGCAGCTGAGCGTGAGCATTGACCTGGTTTGGAGGCCTGGCTGCAGACCCAGGGAGGCCCCTAGGAAGCTGAGCCTCCCATCTGGACCA